GCTAGTGAGTGAAAAAAGAAAAGAAATTAAGCTTAATTTTACCCAATGGATTTGCGGACTAGTCTATATATGAATAGATGGTATGTACCAGATACAACAATAACAACAACACGAGATGAAATTGATGGACCAGATGATGGGAAGGAGATAAGAAGGGCACCACAAAAAAAAACTTTTTCCATCTGTTTTTTTTTGGCTTTTCGTTGAAGTATGGGAAAATTTTGGAAAATACGATGAGGGAAAAAAGTTTTGACTAAAAAAAGAAAGTTTTTCCTTCCTTTCAACCCTCAAAACATAGAACTGAAAAATATTTTTGCCCTCTTTCTGGTGGCTTCCTATTTATTTATATTTTTTTCCTTTCCTGTAGATGTACATATAGAGATATATTTATGTGGGAGATGGCTGGCTGGATATTTGTGTTTAAATACAAATTTTTCTTCATCTTTTTCTCAGTACACAATTGCCTGATGATGAAAATAACATAAATATATGGTTTTGCTCTATATATGTATATTTATCTAGTGGAAAGTGAGGCAAAAAATATGAATGAATGAGTGAATGAATGCCAAATATTTTGTGCAAGATAAATATACTTAAATCGTAAAATGGTGGTGATCATGATGATATGGGAGTGGAAGACACAAATAAATACTCAAGGATAAAAGCCCTTCGTATACTTTACGATTACAGCGAATGCTAGCGGTTAAACTATTTTTGAATTTTATAAACTCATTTAGTTGCATGCCCCTTTACTTTTATTTCAAGTTGCCTTCAATTCTCTTTGAAATTTTCAGTCTTGTTTCATAATTCAAACAACAAACATCATTAAATGCTTATTGCCAATTAATTAACAGAAATATATCACTGCTATTTGTGTTAAGTACACGATATAGAAGCCAAAATTCTGATAATTTGCTTGTTTACATTTGTAATCACAATAATCTCTCCGAATATCATTAAAATAAGCAAAAGCTGTCCAAACAGTTAACAAATCAGACAAAAGACAAACACAGCATTAAAATTCCTATTTAAAAGTGCTCAAAAACAACATTTAAATGGTTGATGAGTCTTCTATTGCTATTACTGCTGTTGGCATTTCTGTGAATGAGCAAAGCCCGAAAAATTTGTAGTGGCTGCAGTGTGCAAACAAAGCTAGTGGTATGGGGAGCATGATGATGAGGAAAGAGAGAAAACTTGGCAAGAACAAGTGTAATTAAAGCGACGATGGAAGGAAAAATGTCGAGTAAAAAAATGTAGAAAAACAAACAGAAACTAGCGATAAATTCCATTTAGCCTTAATTTCTACCATCTATTGCTTTCTATTATCTTCCTTATTCTCTCTCTCACTTATCTATGTGATTTTATGATTCCGATTTAACAACATCAACGTCATATGGCTACAAAAAATGGAACTATGAACGAGAAAATAGCATCAATGAAATCTCTGTTTACGTTATATATGTAGAATTAATGAAAATCGTTCATAGCTTTAAGGGGGGAGAGTAAGAGATGGAAATAGAAAGAACAAACAAACATTTAAGAACGACATGGATATGGATGGGGATAAAAAAATTGGCAGGCACTTCTAAGAACGATAAAGTAATTGTAAACAGACTTGAGGCTTAATGGACTTTAAATATTGCATGAGCGCGTGGGTCAGTAAGGATCATTATGGTCAGTTTATCAACCTCGAGCTTTTAAACCTTCTTGGATCTCAAAGGTCAACTTTTTGGGAAATAAAAATAATATTTTTATTTTTTCCACTTCGAAGATGATAAGAAGGAGGAAAATTTATGATTTAATTAATCTAGGCATAGCAAATTTCCATACTAATTGTAATGAATCTTTTCCATTCACTCGTAAAATGAGCATTAATTTAATGTTTTATGCAAAATATAATAATTTTTATATCTATCTTTGCTTCTTCGATACGCAGCTCTGGACTACTAATTAAATCAATTAATAAGCAACGCGAAAATGAGAGCAGCACAGTTTTCATGACGAGAATCACAAAATAACAAAAAAATAGTACTAATAATAATATAAAATAATGGCACAAATTTTCTTTTTTGCTGGAAAAGTCCTCATCTTGTTTTTATACACTCGGAAAATTGCACATTGAAGGTCACACGAATTTTTTTCTTTGCTGTGTCGTCGCTGCTCAGCTATTGTTAGCTGTCATGAAATGAAAACGAAAAGAAATGTCATGTGGAGTGGAAATCTTATTTCCCTTCATGCGTCTAAAATTATTATTTTTTTTGCTTCTCTCGGATGCTTTAAAGAGCACCAACGATTGAGCTTCAGAAGAAGGAAATTTTAATTTTTCCACCGTAAAAAATGTGTCAAGGGCTGGAAATGAATGATTTTTAAAAGCAACGCTTCAAAAAAATCAAATATTAAGATTGAATAGTAACGGATTTAATGATTTTGAATATTTTTAACAGATTTTTTTGAATCTTCCAAAGCGACACTTTAGATTTCCAATTTTGAACGGATTTTTGAAACAAAATGAATGCATCCCTTGAGAACAGCTTAATAATGTCCAATCCTAGACATTTCGTCTATAAAAATCACAGCGCCTTGTCAGATCTACCAAAGCTCGCAAACAATTTCGCTTAGTTTTCTTCTTAGACATCCATAAATTTTATTTTTTTAAGAGAACAACACAACATTTCTTTTTTTCTCATTTGGTTGAACTCGTGCTTCCCCATTTGCCTTAAAAAATACAAAATATGATTTGATTCAACACAAAAAAAAATTATTTCCTCCTTTTCCTGTTGTTCGATGGGTGAGGTAAAGATTAATTTTAATTAAACTTTTTTAATAATTTTGTTTTTCTTGTTCCTTCGTCGTATCTAAAATATACAATTTGTTAGCAGCATGCAAATCCGAGAACGACGACGAGAAATAGCAGAACAAAAAAAAATCAAAAATTTTCCTTCTTCTTTTTATTTCCATTCTAGAAAACGTGCCACATTCAGTTGGATTTTGTGTTCTTATTCGTCGTAAACGACGGAAGACTCTGTCGTACGTTCGCCATTCTAGCATAATAATAAGAAAAAAGTAAAGTGGAAATTTTCTTCAAAGAGCTTTTTCACATGGAAAATCATTTCTTTTGCTGCCCATTTAAATAAATTTTATTTGATGATTTCAAATGAAATATCCAAGACACGATGGGATGTTGATAAGGAAGATGCAAAGAGATTTAAGACAATATCTATAATTAAAATAATACCCAACCCTGAATAAAAATCATAAAAATTTCCATGAAATTCCTCATTTTATGGAGATGCGAATTACTTTAAGGTATTTCAAATCAAAATCTTCAGATCATATAACAGCATAAAATTAAAATAATTGCCTTAAAGTGAGGAATTTAAAGAATTTAAATCATTTTCACATCAAATTAAAATTTAAGATTATTTTGATATTTTTGGAATCGTACGTAAAATAAGATTTCTTTATATTATCGCAAGGTGCGGTGGAAATATGAAATCTAAACAAAATAAGCACCTATTTTTGGTTTCATTTTAAACAACAGATTAAGTTTAAACAAAAGACGACATTAATGTGTTAAAAATAAATCTGAACAACAGAAAGTATAATTTTGAGCAGTTTAATTAGTGTAGATCGCCAACAATTCAGGGATCAAAAATCTCATTTTAATAACACCAATAAAATATTAAATAAACGATAATTACAGACAATAATAAAAAGTTTAAATACTGTGCGTAATGTGAGAGTTTATCCTGTAAATAATTCAGTAACAGATTTTCTTCCTTTTAAAAACAATTGAAAAATGTTTAACAAAAAAAAAAGAACAAAAGGGAAGTAAGAATATGAAACATACTGTCTGCAGTTAAATTGAAATATATTTTTTTTGTTCCTGTTATTCTTCGTTAATGTTTATCTTAAATGGCCTTTTTTTGTGCAACGAATTTTCATTTCTTTTGTTCCTATTTAAAATTTATATATTCATTCTTATCCACCATGCTGTACAGTCATAATTTACATTTATGTAAATAAAATCGTAAAAAAATTAAAATGTTGAAAATTAATGACGTCAGTTTTATTTTGGGCAGGGGATGGGGTTTTGTTTTTTAGCGGGAAAATGATTTTTCATCGATTTTTAATAAATTTTAAATTTTCCCGTCAAAAATTGAACCGCACCCAATCCCTAGGTTTTTGTTAATTACTTCAAAAGAACTTTTCATTTAAATTATCTTTCTCCAATAATTATTAAGGGCACGTTAAATATCTTTCTGTTCATTTTCGTCCTTATCAATTCATTTTATTTCACTTTTTTGTTTTAATTAAAATTTAAATAGTATATGGCAACGAAGAGGCCGAAGCGAAACTGTCAGAGAGTAAAATACTTTGTTTGTTCCTTGATTTCAATATGATCGCACGGCCCAGCCTATCTCCAATGACCTTTTTCTTACAATATTTATATCATGTCTGCTTCCGGCTGTACAATATTTTCGAGTAGCATTTTGTTATTATTGTTTTTTAATGTATGAATCTCATAATAATTTCTTGTTTACTTACGATTCTCTTCCTTGTTCTTTCTTTTGTTCATTCACAACATTTAAGGTATGTAAGTAAAATACTTATAATAATATTAATAATAATGGGTGGGTGGTTGATTTTCATATTTTTATCTCCTCTTTTACAATATTGTGCAAGTATATGTATATCGCGGGGGGGGGGGATTTATTTTCGTTTTATTTACACAAAATAATTTCATTCATGTCATGATAACATGCTTGTTACTTTAATGTCTTGAATAATTGGAAGATTTCTTGGAACTTTATTGTTATCAATCAGGGTAGAAAAAAGCTTGTTGATCTTAAGAAATTGCTTTTGTTTGAAATTAAAGTTGTAAATTTGACTTCAAAAAAGACTTGTTTACATTCTCATTTGAACATTTGATTGCTCAATTTCAGCCTGATTTCATCTTTATAAGACTTCTTAATACTTGCAAAGTATTAAACAAAGGTGAGCAAAGCTTTTTTTTGCTTGAATTCCTTAATAAAAAGGCTTGAACAATTCAAAACCTGCAAATTAATAACTTTGATTCTGACATGATCAAATTTAAATTCTTTCCAACCAAAATGTGCGGGAAAAATTCAAAAATAACCGTTGGGTTAATGAACATTCCAACAAATCTTCCAAAAAGCTCAACCTGAATGATTGAATAAATTTTATCATACAATAAAAAATCGTTACTTCCTCGTTTAGTGATAAAAATTTTCCACGTATCATCATTATCATCCATCCATCCTACATTAATATCATTTTGTTTAGTTATCTAAGTTGTACATTTAATAATGTGATGTGATGAAATGATGGGAAAATTCAATCATCTAATTTAATTTTCTCCATCACGTCATTAAAATTGAATTCCTCGAGAAAATTTCATCTTTTTCTCTCACTTCCTTATGAAAAACTAAGTGACACATGTCAGGGCGACTACACATATCTATTTTGCTACTCAATTTTTTTTCTTGCGATTTTTTTTTAAAATATTATTTTTTGCATTACATTTTTTTAATAAAAAAATTATCACATTTTTTAAGTGTGAATGAGAATTTATTTTTGCCTAACAATTTGCTTGTTTTGTAAGTGCATCGACATTTAAGTTATGCAATTTATGTATATTTATACTTTTAAGTAGATACTTAAGTAGATTTTATGCATAATAGAGATGGAGATTCTTAAGTGTAACTAGAGGGCGATTGAGTTGGAGGGTATGAGTGGTCGGAGTACGTCGTGAGTGTTGAGAACTTAGTTTCCCGCCAATTATTTTCATTTTAATTTTGAGGAAAATGGAAATAAATAATGCAGCACAAGTGCCCCAGAGATTCCTATGGATTATCACAAATTCCCATTGCATGACCTAGTTCCAGTTCCCTCAAAAATACAGAAAAAGAGAGATAATGATTCTTCATCTAGCTACCCTGTTAAATAGTAACATTGTGTGTATATCAATGCTGTCTATAAATCTCTCCTTACTCATAATTTCTCATAATACACAAAGCGTACGACGTAAAAACAGTGAAAATCCATTTCATTATAAAAGCATCATCCTCATTTACAAAATTTTTCGTAGCGAGATTGAATGAAATTTAAGCTCATTTTTGGATATATCATACAAAATGCTATATTTATTCCGCATTTAATTTAACAATATCTCCTCCCCAGTCTCATATCCTTTATATTTCCTCTCTCTATCTGTCTCATACTCATCAATTTATTATTTCATTATGTGGTACATGGAAGTTCATCAATTTTTTTTTATAAAATATACAGCCACATATTCTGATAATGCCAACGTTATTGTTATCTGATGGCGGATTCCTTTTGAGGCAAATGGATGTCATTCATAATTAGAAGTGTTGCATTCATGTCGCGCGTGTGTGTTCTTTAAATTGAATTTAATATTGCACAACAATCAATACCTTGATTGATTGTGGAGTAGGACAACCGCACGACGATGTCGATGATGATAATCAAATAATAAATAATAATGATGAGTTTTGGGGGGAGGTTTTAAAATTTGATTTTGATTTGTTTTTCCTACTTTTTTTCGTGGATTATGCTTCATTATAATTTAATGAATTTACACTAATTTTAATTTCCGTTTCCTCTCGTCCTCCAACATCAATTTTACCCTTCTAGCCTAATTTACACTTGGTTTTTGTTTTAATTTTTTTAATTTAATTTTTATCTCTCTAATCAACGTGCGCGTGAAAATTTTTTTGTTATAATTTTAATTTAATATTTCTGTTATTGGCACGTTCCACCATCAGCGAAACGTACCCGAGGCTGATCTCAGACAATTATCTCACGTATGACACGACGATTTCGTGAATTTGGTGTTGAGTAGCCACTTTCGAGGTTCTCATCATACCCTCCGAGTTGCATGTGCTGCTGAGGTGGCTTTGGATGATCTAATTGATCTTCGCTCATACCCATTTGTTCCATATATGGATCAGGCAGGCCACTAACATCATGATACGGTGATTCTATGTTTTTTAGGGGAGGTAAAAAGGCATAAATTAATGAGACTGTACTTGACTTTTTGCTACATGATGTATACATAATAATTATAATAATTATATGGCTATCTTACCCATATGTGAGTCTAATCGTTTCTTGTTTGGTTTATGTACAGCCGCATATGGATCTGTACAGTAGTCTTGTCTTGATGGTGGCTGTTGTGCCATCATCATTTGATTATGATAATCTTCTGCAATCATCTGTTGTGATGGTGTCGTCGCTAAATGTGGATACGTTGCGTAATCATCTACAGTTCCATAGCCTCCATGAGTCAATGGATCATAACCATATGACGGTTGTCGTTCAACATATTGATGTGAAATAAGATTACCGGAATTACTTGGAGCTGCTGACATTTTCATTTGATAAAGTGAGTCCTGTGAATTTACACTGCCGCCGTTGTTTGAATTTGAGTAACTATTTTCCATATAGCCCATATTAACCCCTATAATAATAATAAAAATGAATAAAAAATAAAGTTTAAAATTAGTTTTTTTTTCTTTTCTTTAAAATCTTTTATGCTTGCTGTGCAAGTAAGTAAGAAAGTGTAATGGTAAAGTGGTTGCTTAACTTGCTACGGAATGGCAAACTCAAAGAACGAACAGAAGGAAATAATTATGAATTGAAAAACATATATTATGTAAAATGGTAATTAAATAAACTTTCTCTTTATGCTTTTTTCAGCACTTTTCATCATTACTTTCGTCAGAGTTGGTTGCGTGCTGATTTGACTTTGTAATGAGTTCTTTGGTAGTTGGAAGTTCATAATTATGATTCTCACAATTGAGGAAGATACTGAGAATTTTTAAGGTTTGCATAGTGATTTTCTAACGGATTATTTCAGTTTTAATTTAAAATATAATTGAAATTTTTTGAAATTTATAGCAAAAATATTTTATAGCAAATTTAATGCAAGTTTTAACAAATGTTACCGAATTTTAAAGCACATTTAAAGAGCGTTTTATGCAAAAATTATAGGAACTTTTATAGCAAATTTTAAAAACAACAACAAATTTTTGACAACTTTATAGCAAAATGTAAAATTTTATGAAATAAGAATATTAAATTTTGCACCTCTGTTTACAATATTTTCTTCCATCATAACACAACTACCACCTCATCTTAGCTACTTCACATTCCATGTAGTTCAATATTTGCAATCTTTGAATGTTTTTAAGCTCAGTAATAATTTCTTTACGTCGCACATAAGTTGAAAAGATGAATGAAAGTTGAAAGAGCGAAAAAAGATTTTTTCCACTTGTCTTTTTTTATGTTTCACATTGAGAAAAATGTAAATTTTTCATGGGAAACTTCTATCTATATACTTTGTAGAGAAATCTTTTTTTTTTGCCGTTATAAGCATAATTTATATACATATTTCACAAAAAAGTACTTTTTTCTGCCATAAGTTGCCATCAACTTTTTCTATGAACACAAGGCATTGCCTGTGAAAAATTCTTCTTTTGTTTTCCAATCTCTACTTTTTTTCCATTCATTAAAAAGAACTTTGACTTTCACATGAAAGTTTTAAAAAAATCATTTTTTCATTATTCAAAAATAAAGTACTTTACTATTGAGTTAGTAAAAAGAATTGGTTTGTACCGAGAAAAATTATCATGATAAAATATTAAGTATATGTATTGTGAAAAGTTGAGGTTGGATTGGAAAGACTGAGTTAATGACTTAATAATGAAACTATTAATAATGAGTATTCTTTAAGTTTTAAATTTACTGATTTTTAATTAAGGTTGTTTCTCCCCTAGTATAGGAAATTTTGCTTAATTCAAAATTACATAAAATTCAATTCATTTTATGACAAATTATGTAAAATCTCGTTTGCTCCGAGCTAATCTACACTTTCATCCATGAATATCAACAAATGGTTCTATATTTAATGAATAATTAACAATTAAAAATACAATATGGAAGATTCACGAGAAAACCAGAATAAAAACAATCCAAAGCCATTGATGAAATTCAAAATTGATTAAAAACCTTTACAAAACCAAAAGGCAGAAGATTTACTCAACAAAATCTCCTACCTCAATGTTTGTGGCTGCTCAAAGGATTCTTTAATCAATTTTCCTCATTTTTATTTACAAAAAGAGAAATTGTAAACGAAAAAGTTCTGTCTATAGCTTAAATGTATGGTAATACTCTTTAGTATATGGAAGTTTAAACTTATATTGCATACATTAAACTCATAATTCACATTTCAACCGGTACTTCCTCTTCCCTCTCATCTCTCTATGTTTTAAGGACGACAAAATAGTTAAAAATATTTTATAAAAAAATGAGTTCTCGGTGTCTGCAATGATATATAAGTCGCTTCACATGGACAATAGAGAACGAGAACGAGAAGGAAGAACAAGAGAGGAAATGTGTGGGAAATGAAAATTAAAAGACACATCTGCGAAAGCACATAAAGCATAATGAAATCAAATTCATACGAGGAAAAAAAGAAGAAAAGTTCAGAAAAAAGGATTAAAGGACTTAAAGGTGAGGGCTACTCGTTGGTGCTGCTGCTTTTATAATTGTGTGAATAAATGCGAATAAATGAATGAATGAATGTGGAGTCACACAATGAGCGAGGTATTTTACTGATGACTGCGACGAGTGATGGTGTTGGACGAGGAAAAAAGTAAATTGCCACACGTTTCACAGATTAACGTCAATTTTCATTTTTTTTTGTATTTGGAAAAGAGCTTTAACCAGAAAAAGTGAGAAATAAAGCATTACGAGTGAGTCGAATTGGCTTGGTGGTTGTTAGAAGGAAACTTAAAGACGGATTTGAACTTCCGTTTTGATTCCATTGGTTGGATTTGTATAGAGAATAAATTCGAAATCACTGTAGGAATTACAATCAAGGTGATTAACGAACAATAAGTAATATTCAGCACGTTTGGCTTTAAGGATCTCGTCGAACTCTGCTGATTGTGTGTCTCCATTATTCAGTGTAACTGAACTCAAGATGGAAATTAAAAAGATGAGAAAAAAAATAAAAATAAATTTTTAAGGGGGTAACAACCTGATGGGAACTTTTTGACCAAGTTCTAAACATTTACCGACAATTGTTTAATGGAAAATAGTGAAAGTTTTCCATCATGCTGTTTCCCCCCTTTAAAAAAAATTTAAGAGCGATGTTAAGCCACTTAATTATTTCGCATATTTTTCCCCACAGCCCAAGTTACCTGATGATGATTTAATGGGTTTTTCTAGTCCTTTTTTCATTATATGATTTTTTATGGTAAGCATATTTTTTTGTGGAAGGAATTAACACAAAAAGAATGAAGAAAAAGAGAAGAAAAGAAAAATTCACATTGTTAATTTTCAACAGCACTTAGATGTTCCAAAAACAGTAATACTCATGTCCCTTTATAGCTATATATATATACTCTACATGATATACACGAACTAATGTAAAATACTCACAGTCATACAATACACACGTAAAACGAGATGAATGAAATGACAAAAAGCCAATAGATAAAAAATTTAATTAAACTACTTACATTCTGCTGGGATGTTGTGTGATGGAACTTGAATTCCTGTATTGTATCCATATCCATTTTGTGTAGCATAAATTGCAGTCTTCTGCTCTTCCATTGCCAATGCAAGATCCATTGAATGTTCGAGTGCCTTGTTCTCAAGTCCACTTGCTGGATAATAGGGTGGTGGTGCTTGATTCTGTTGTGCAACAATTGATGGTCGTACTGAATCCATTTCGTAATCCTTTGCCTGTACACTCTTTTTTGTTTGCTTCTTCTTACATCGACAGAACATGAGTAAGAGTCCAATAAAGAGAGCGAATACGATGCAGGATACGACAATTGCAACCAATGTTGGCATGTTAATTGATGCCACGTCCTGAATATATGATGGACCAACTGAGTTGATGGAAAGAGAGGAGAGAAATGAATTAATGAGAAATTAATTAATTCATTAAATTTTCATAAATAATTAATTTAATGGTGCACAATATCAAAAGCCATAATTCATGATGATAATGGTACACGATGGCTGCTGCTGCTGCTGATGCTATGTGTACTTATAAATAAATATATAAATTTGTTCAGGGTTTTGAGTGATAACTTTATCATATCTAGATGTATAAATTTATTATTATGTTCTGATGTCGAGAGATATTAAACGAAAAACTTTTGCCATCAGCATGAAAAAAAAGGAAGCACACAGCAGCACTCAAAGTAGATGACAACACTTAAGTGATCAACATAGTTAATTACTCAATAAAAAATTACTAAGAGGACAGTTCATACTTACTTTCAGCACCAATATATTCACCACAATGTTCAGGATTGCCTCTAAGGCACAATTTAACACGTACACGTGGCGTATTTTCATCTTCTAATGCCATTGTAAAGTCTTCTTCGTCCTCTAATGATCGAGCAGCGCTCCTTCTTGGCATTATAATATTTTCAACAATCGATTCTTTGAAAGTTGGTGCATTACCTGAGGCTGCCAATTGTATCTGTCCAACAATATGCCATTCAGGTACATGTGTTTCAGCATGTAAGAGAGTTTCCACAACTGCCGTTAGGGCCAAACATGTCTGACCGACATTAATGCCCAACATTTTTGTTGATGGATCATATGAGACTCGTAATGCTGATGGAATCTTACTGACTTTAGTCGTTTTCGTTATTTCGCTTGAATATTCGGAATTTCCTTTCGTGTTCATTGCCTTAACTTTAAATACATAACTGGAATGTTGATCTAATGGTGTAATATTGCATGGATGATTTCGATGACAGTCAAATTCAGACCAGTCCGGTGATGATGTGTAATATGAGCCACAATCTCCATTGACTTCATTACTTGGAATTGACACTTTACGGTATAAGACAAAGAATTTCGTGTTGCTTAATCCACCATCAAATCCAGGTGTCCAATTTAATGCGATAAAATTCGATCCGATATCTGATGCGTCAAGGTTTGTTGGCTTCTCTGGTTGTCCTTTAGGCTGTAATCTAATTGGTGCTCTAATTGTCTCTAATGAATTAGATGCGCGGCAATTGTATTCACCATAGTCATTATGACGTACGTTATGGATTTTTAGGACACTTGTGTAGACATCATTGTTATCACTTTGTGTATTAATTTCATAATGGGCGTCGGAGCTCATTGATATTGGTGCCGTGTTTGTTCCATAAGTCCATTGGAATTCTGGCTTTGGATATGCTTGAACTTTACAAACAACAATTGCTGTTTCACGAAGATCAGCGGCAACTTTATTATACTGATGCAAAATAATTGGCTCGTGTTCAATTTTCAGGTGCATTGTTGAATTGGCTGAATTAACTTCGTTTTGGTAAACACATGAATAAGTTCCACGGTCGTTTGGCAAGAGCTGATTTGAATTTGGACGCATTTTTCCATAGAATTTTAAATTGCTTTGAACGGTAACCATACCATTGGGGCCTTCGTTTGGCGACGTTGTAATTTCATAGAAATTAGCTTCGCTTGTTAATTCGCGACCGTCTTTAAACCATTTCACTGATGGCTTTGGCTTACCTTTTGCACTACATGATACACTAAAGTCACTATCACCAACACGTCGAGTTAAATGCTGTTGAAGTTTTGCTAAAAATTGTGGAGGTTGATGAACTTCCAATGTAATTGTTGCCATTTCTCCATGTCCCAATTCATTTGCTGCATGACAATGATAACGTCCCTCACTTCCTAAATGTGCACGAGGAATGACATATTGTGATCCTTGAGATAATACTTTTTGCGTTGAAATTTCACCCTCGACATCACGGAACCAACGATATTGTGGAACTGGCCAACCGGGTGGATTAGCAGAGCATGTAAATGTCACACTATTTCCAACGTGAACAACTGGCTTATTTGGTGTGATAACAGCTTTACCCGGACGATGACGAATTAAAACAGCAACTGTTGAATTTCCAACCCGTTCCATTGCTTTCGATCCATATGGACGCATATTATTGATACCGCGGCAAATGTATGTACCAGCATGTTCAGCTTTTATGTCAGTGATTGATAGTACATCGCCAGATTGACGAAAATCGAGATTTCCTTCTTTAACCCATTCAATTTCAACAGGTGGTGGATTTGATGTGACATTACATTTAATATGGATGCCTTCACGCTCCTCAGCTTCACGTGTTTTTGTTTCAATCACTACGACAGGTGCATAAAGCACATCAACTTGAACCTTTTGTGTTCCAGTACGTCCTAATCCATTATCAGCCGTACACTCATACTCGCCAGCGTCTTGTACCGAAACACGATGAATTGTGTGTGTGAATGAAGAACTAATGAATCGTCCACCTCTCGTCCATCTTACATTTGTCACTTTTGGCTTCGCATCGACATTACATTCCAATTTTGCTGTTCCGTCACGTTCAACACGTAATGGATTCTCTGGACCGACTTCAACACGTGGATAATCTGCAATGAAATGAAACATAAAAAAATGCAATTAATTTTTTTGTCCAGCACTTTTATCTGTATGTGACATTTGGTAAATATACAATTCATATAAGGGGTTGTTTATTAGTGATGTCAGGTGAGCTATTGAGTTTTTACAACTTTCTCACATCGAGACTGATTGCTAGACATCATAAAGTGAACAATCCCATAATAAAAAGTAAAGAAAAATAAGATAAGGTATGACTGAATCCTTCTGATGTCTCTCTATCTATTTTTTGTGACTTGTCATGCCGCAGAACAAGAAGGAAAATAAATGATAAAAAGCATCATAACGTAAAAAAATTGGTGGTTCTAAATCCGATTGGGAGTTCCGTTAATCTTAGTTGGAATTGAGAGGAGGCTTATTTGGTTATTTTTTTAGTGGAACTGACACTTGTTTGTCTTCCCTCAGAACAAAAATTTAATCTCATAAATTACAAAACACCCAAAAGGCATTTTTGAGCAACTCCCAAATCATTACAAATTCATGGCGTATGTATAACAACAATCAATTACGTCATAGGTCATTTAGTAACATTTACAAAAATTTGACCTTTTATGAAAAACTTTTAAAAGTTCAATCTACCTGACTTAGTCTTATCGACATCCCTAAAGAATCGAGATTTCAGAAGTTATCATTGAAACACAAACAAAAAGAACTAACAAGCTAGAGAGCAATGGAAAGAAAATTATGAATGAATGAAAAGGCATTTTCATGACTTTTGGGAGAGCACGGGGGGTAACAACATTTTGAGAAAAAGTATTGATGAAGATTTCTCATCAATTGACATTTTTGATTAAGTTCTCAGAATCTCCCACCATTTTTTCATAATTTATTTACCCATCATGTTGTTACCCCCTTGGTGAAAACTCTTTTTACGTTTGCCATTCATACATTTTGTTATTATTATCATGTTGTGATATGAAACGAAGTGAATGATAATTTTTTAATGTCACTTTAATGTTCATTTTGGGGTTTACAGCTTTTGGCTTTAGTGGTATTATAATGCTGTATATTGAGGATGAAAAGAGAAAAATTGTCGGCGCAATGTCATTTTATTTATTATAAAAAAATAAAAAAAAAATTGGATGTAAACCCCAAAAAACTTTAAACTTTCAACGCTTTTTATGAGATATTCCAATGGACAAAACAGTCATAAAAATCAGTTCTATGTGCTGTATGCAATAAAATACTCCCTTAACACTGAACAAAAAAGAAAAATCTCATATAAATTTCCGCTTTATTTTATCTGCAGATAACTAGTTCATTGCAGTTATTTCCCAATACATTTGTTCTCATATTGTTTCTTCTGGACAGGGACGTAGTTTGGGATAAGGAGTATTGATTGTGAATTTGTGTAAGCGAATCTTTAAAAAATGAAATCCATCAAAGAAGAGTTGACACCCAGCTACGTTCCTGTTAAAGTTGTGGACCAAGCTACTCTCCGGATTATAAAATATTAAAGAATAAATGTCGGTGATTCAAATGGTGAGTGGAATGGCTTTGGAGAAGGAAATGACCCAAAATGAGACTTTCAACATGTGTTTTAGTTCATGTTAAACACGATGTTTAGATTAACTGCTTAATGACAATGACCCCTCTTGATAAAAAAATAAAGGAACAATTTCTGCTGTGTGGCTATAAAAAGGTCAAAAAAATGTATCGAGACAAATGATTATGTACACATGTATCTTTCCCTATATGAATCATTAGTCATTTTTCAGCATAAATCGTGCGGTTAGAACAGAAGGGACAGTCAGCAACAGTGGATATTATCATTTCAACAGAATGTCCCTAAACGCCTTCAAACTTTCTTGTTCATTTCACTCACACAAAAAAAAGAATGTTTAAATGTTAATCGCAATCACAGTAAATATCCGCAACAGCAAAGAGAAGCGACAAATTCACAATGAAACTTTTCATTCCTTGTTGCTCAGCTTTATCCTCGGGACAATTTTACATTTGTAGAGCATAAAAAAGAGGCAACAAAAGGTATGAGAATGATAGAAAGAGCTTGATGACAAATTTGATGATGGCGGATATGAAGGTATGGCAGGTAAAAAAAGGGAGAGAGAGATGCTTAGTTATATGTGTTCTTTTTTTCTGCTGGGTTGAATTCTCTGAGGCATACATATGTCATAAACGGAAAACAGAGCTTAAAGTTAATGTTATGGCAGCGGAAGGCTCAAACACACACAAAAGGTAAAATGTCGCTCTTACTCAATCTATTTTTGAATGATTCAACAGAAATGCTTGTTCATTTGGCAATTTTCATTTACATCAAACGAAGGAAAATCTTTTAAAATTCCTTTTTTGCTTTCTTAGAGTCGAGCTTGTTGTAAAATGAAGAAGAATAATTCTTGGAATTTCCTTTGTTTAATGGAATATTGTGGATTTTATGAGTATTTATGGCAGTTGGGCTTTTGTATATTTGATAGGTTTGAATTTAGTAATTTTAATTTGAAATTCGAGTAGCTTTGCATCTCATTTCTTAATATGTCGCATCTTTTTATTCTTTTTTGCCTCTCAGAATCAATTTTGCTTCAATTTGAGTGACATTTTTGATGTTCGCATCAATTTTGCTTCATTTATGAACTTTTAGCATCAATTTCGCATCATTAATGAACTAGTCTGCATCACCTAGCACCGTTCTTATCTTTTTGTTTGCAATTTCGAATTAAAAACCCAATTTAAAGCTTTAAATTGTAAAACACACAAAAATCCATCTCATCCACAAATCCCAAATGACTTTTCTACCAGTTCTTTTCATGCTTTTTCCAAAGTCTCGACTCATTCTTTTGTGAAATTCGATTTATGCGTTTCTTTTTACTTTAGCTTGTTTTATGTATTTATACATATTGAAGCTTGTACATTTTTTTGAAACGAAATCATTTCTCATTTTCCAAGGGTGTATTTTTCTCGTTATCGTAAAAAACAGCAGCAGCACAAAAAAAATATTGCGAAATGTGAAACTTCATAACATTTCTTTTCTTTTCCTTTTTATGCTGTTTTTTTTTCTTATACAAGTTGATTTGCTAAGGTTTGATGGGGGTTTATGTGTCAATGATGTTAATAGAGTACCTATTAAATTAGTGTCTCGACTCTTTTTTTGTGATGTGACATTATAATCAGTGTCGTTGTTGGGTCAGTTGCTTTGTTCTATCATAAATAATTTAATAAAGCTTTTGTAAATGGATATAAAATATGACATCAACTGCATTTGCTACTTTATTTTTCCTTCTTGTACTTATTTGTATCAGCTCACACCACATGATTTTTTATGCATTTAAAGTTCCTTTATGAAATTTCTTCTTTTTTTTCTACTATTTCTGTTATATGTTTTCTTTACTTTACTTTCATCTTATTTGCTCGCCTTTTCGACATCTTAAATGTGCATGGAGAGAGAGTTACTTTATTTGTTAACGATAGGCAGCCGCCAGCACTCTCAAAGGCACTGCCATTATTCACATCGATATAGCAATAAACATTATCGAATATGTGCATATATATAAATGTATGTTTATATATTTGATTTCAGTACATACATATATGCACACACATGCTCATATATAGTGAGGAACTTTCTTATGATCTGGTTTTAACCGTTTTCTGAACTCGTTTTTTCTCTCCTTTACACTTCTTTCTTCTTTGCCTTGTGTTTATTTTTATTTTTTTATTTTTCAAGTTTTTCTTTTTACATTTAAAAAATTCTGCTTTTATTTCGTTATCAAATAAAGTCACGTACGTGGTGCTACTTTTGCAAAAAAATAAAACAGGAAGAGAACATTGACATTCTTGAATAATTGCTTCTGCAGTTCTAGCTTCAATTCTTTATTTAATTCTTATTTATGTGCTTATAGAATTTTATTAATCTACTTGGATGGGGTTTATTTGAGTTTGAAGGAATTTAAGGCAAGGTTTTGAGTATTTAGGAGTTTTGCATCAGTTCTGCATCTTTTTTATGTATGCATCTGTTCTGCATCTCAAATTTAAAAATTCTTGAGTCACTTTTGCATCTTTTATTTGAGACTATGCATCATTTTGACATTAAAAAGGAGTTTTGGCATCATTTTGAGTCTGATTTCGAATTATATCTTTTTTAACTGTTGTCACAGAATTTAACAGCTTGCATCATTTCAGCATCAATCAGTATTACAATTGCATCATTTTCGCATAAAAGTTTCAAAAAAAAGTCAACAATTTCGCATCAATTAATGAATTTCCGCATTAGTTCCAAAAAGAATTCAATAAAAAAATGTTAATAGCTTAAAATATCAATAATTTTATTACGGAAATACAGAGCTTAAGGCTTCCAATGAATCAATTAATTTGACGTACTTAATGTTCCATAGAAATTAGGATTAATCATAATAAATGTGCTTGAATCGAGATGAGTAAGCAGCTTTTTAGCTCTTTTAAAATTATTTATGGCAATCGTTTAACGTACGAAATAAACTAATTAATAAGCGAAAACGAAGAATTTTCATCAAAATCAACTAGATTTTCCTAATTAAAAATGCTGATGTAATCAAATGAATTTAAAAAGGCAAAAGTTGAACATTTTAATTTAAAGAACTTTACATTTTCATTCTGTTCTCATACCTTTTTTCAATTTATACATCCGAAATGAATATACATTCGTTATAATTACATCTGGCTTAATTTTTCTGCATTAATTTACATTTTTAAATAAAAAAAAATCATTCTGTAAAATTGGGATATGAGTGAGTGAATGAGAGGATTTCATATTTTGACTAAATGAATGTTTACATATGAAAATTGTGCAATGAAAACTGATTTTCGAGCTATAATCATCATCATCATCATGAATGAACATACAAATTTAAGTAAATAATATAATAAAAATGAATTTATATTGAAGCATATGTGGATGTGCAAGCAGAAATGAACTAAAAATGCCACCCCGTGTGAGTAGGTATGAGAAAAAGATGAAGAATGTTTGTAGATGTAGAATATAAACAATCATTCAACGAGAT